GGAATTCTGGGAAGTGTAGTCCAGGATCTCAGGGTAGTCTCAGGCACTTCCGCCCCAGGAGGCCAAGGTAGCGGCCATGTTTTCCTTATGATGATTCCCACGACCCATCTGAATTTCCCCGAAGTGCGTCTGGGATTAATTGCTAGTCGGATTTTCGTTTGAGGAGAAAGAGTAGGAGCGGCTGAGAGTGGAGGTTTGAAGCGCGAGGCCGGTGATTTGCTTTCCCCTGGGCAGAGCTTCTTCGCGTTTGGAAAATTACCGGGTTGGGGTGGGCCGTGGTGGAGCATCACCGGCTTTCAGGGTCTCCCGGGCTGTTTGCTCGCCTCCCCTGCCTAGGAGTTACTTAATGTCTCTGTGCCTTCGTTTGCTCTTCTGTAAAAGGAGAATGATGGTATTACCTGTCTAATAACGGTGTTGTGGGAAAAACGATATTAGAAGTAAAAAGCTTAAAACTGCTCAGCAGTGGTTTTTACTATTAATACTACTATAATTCTCCGAGAAGTCCCCATTTCGCAGTGAGCTTCTGTGAGCCCAGGAAGCTGGATTGACTCGGACCTTTCCGGATCTCTATTTAGGCAGGAGAGTATTGCTTCCATCTGGGTACCCGAGGATGTCACTAATTTATCTAAAATGGAGACCCAGTTGTGGTCTCTTATGCCTGCTTTCTTCCCCAGCCCTGACTTCTCAAAAAGCACTGCACAGAGATGAAGGGAGTGACTCCTTGGAGGGAGTGACCGTTTGGCTACTGGCCAGATAGTTTCTCATTTATTTCTTTTCAAAAAATATAGAGGTAACATATAATCACTAGAAAATTCAGAAGATACATAAATATATAAAGAAAAACTTTAATTATCCGTAACCTTAGGTTGTAAAGATAACGATTGCTAAGATTTGAATGCATACTTGTTTGGTTATATTTTTGTGTGTATTTCTGTTCAGTATAGACTGTTTTCTTTGAGAATGATAGCACACTGCAAGGCTTCTCAAATTGTCGTCCATGAACCAGCAGCGTGGACATCACCTGAGAGAAATACTCATCGTTGAGCTCCACCCAAGACGTTCTGATTTAGAATTTCTTTGGATGGGACCTGAGGCATTAGTGGTTCAGTGATAGAATTCTCCCCTTCCATGAGAGAGAGAGAGACCTGAGTTTGATTCCCAGCCCGTACACTTCATGTGCAGCCACCACTCATCCTTCCATCTGTCAGTGGAGGCTTGTATGTTACTATGATGCTGACCAGGTTTCAGTGGAGCTTCTAAACTAAGACTGACTAAGAAGAAAGACCTGGTCATCTGCTTCCTAAAAGCAGCCAATGAAAACTTTACAGATCACAACAGTCCGATCCCCAGCTATCACGGGGTTGGCACAGGACCGGGCAGTGTTTTGTTCCGTTGTAAACCAGGGTCACCGTGAGTCAGGGAGCTGAGTTGAAGGCAGCTGACAATAGCAGACATGGATGGGACCCAGGAATCTACATGTCAACAAGATCCCCAAGGTGATTCTAGTACACCTTCAAGTTTGAGAAGCTCAGGAAAGAGTCTTGCTTGGAAACTCAGGCCTAGAGAGCTGACCCTGCCACATATCTCAGATAAAACTGAGACAGACACTACAGAGCCCTACTTTGGTCCGATGATTTTTCTCCCCTAAATAAATGTTATCAACTGTCAGTTCTCTTTGCAATATCCTGATGTTAGCAAAAGGCAGCTGGCAAATATAATAGAGTCAAAATGGAGAAATTAGAAGTCATGAAGAAATATTTCTCCCAGAGTTTGAGGAGTTGATTCATTGCTTTGCATTGCACAAGAGGACTTCTACCTGAAGTGGGAGAATCCACTAGTAGTTACTGTTCATTAATTTTAGATATTATCATAGTCGTTGTCGTCACCATTATTGTTATTACTGTTATGACTATGACCATTTCCTGATTTAACTTTTTATATAATTTCAAACTTAATGAAAAGTTGAGCATTAGTGTATGGAATTCTCCTATACTCTACCCAGATTCAGTTATTTATGTTTTGCCTATTTGCTCTGTTGATGACCATCAGCCATATACCACTAGGAATATATCTGTAATCATAGACCTTTTTTTTTTTTTTTTAGCTTTCTGCAGCAAGGGATCCCAAGGAATCATGAGGTGTCTTGGAAAGAGGCTATTAGCAGGGCCTGGTTATAGGATTTTAGCTTGGGTTGGCGGAGTTAGGGAGAGTTTTAGGCACTGAAATTTATCCTGGATTGGATGCTTTCAAGAAGCAGGAACAATGCAATAATTGGGTACTATAATTTTTTCTAGGAGGTAGGAGAAACAGTGAGATAAATTGCCCTTGGTAAAGAAGTAGTAGTCACTTATGTTGGCCAGAAGAGGCACCTGTTTGGCTATTTTTGTCATTGTAGAATGTCTTTGTGTTACATGATTATGGTCTTGTATTTTCTTGTTTGCCATGATCACTACATGGCCCTGTCTGATTTTTGTTGATCAGTTGAAAACACCAAGTTCTAGCTGCTGTCACTATTAGGTGTCAGAGCTAGGGCGTTTCCCCTTTCACAGAAAGATATGCATTGCACTTAATTTTCATGTTTCTCTGGTCTCCTTTAATGTAGAATGATTCCTCAGCCTTTTTAGGTGGTTTTCTTGACATTTTTGAAGAGTATAGGCAAGTTATTTAGTAGACTGTCACTCTTTTTCACTTTATCTGTTTTTTTTTTCCTTTCACAGCTTATGCCTATACTTTTTTTTTTTTTCCTGAACCATTTGAGAGTAAACAAGAGACATGGTACCTCTTTGCCCCTAAGTAGTTAAGTGTATGTTTCCTAAGAACAGGAACATTCTTTTAAATAACCATAAGATAAGAATCAAAGTAAAATTAATTACACTGGTAGCATATTGTTATATAATCTACAGTCCATATTTTCATTTGTTTGGTTTTCTCACTAAAATCTTTGAGAGCAGTTTTTCTTCCAGTTCAGGATCCAGTCCAATGATACGTATTGTGCTTAGTTTTAAAAAATTTTAAGTTGTATTAAATATATATGTAACAAAACATTTGCTGTATCCACATTCTATGCATGTAAAATTCAGTAACATTCATTATGCTCATCATGTTGTTGAACCATCATCAGTATCCATTTCCAAATTTTTTCATCATCCTTAACAGAAGCTCAGTGCCCCCTAAGCAGTGTTTCCCTCCTTCTCGTAGTTTTTATGTTTCTTCAGTTGTCTTTAATCTAGAATGATTTCTCAGCCATTCTTTCTGGTTTTTTCCTCGACATTTTTTGAATATAGGCAAGTTATTTTGTAGAAGGTCCCTCTTTTTCAGTTTGTCATTTATTTATGATTAGATTCATACCCATACCATACCCATGGCTGTTGAGTTGATTCCAACTCATAGCGACCCTGTAGGACAGAGTAGAACTGCCCCACAGGGTTTTCAAGGAGCGGCTGGTGGATTCGAACGGTCAGCCTTTTGGTTAGCAGCCATAGCTCTTAACCATTGTGCCAGCAGGGTTTCAAATGATTAGATTCAGGCTATGCATTATTAACAGGGTTACTACAGAAGTGGTGTGACCTCATTCTCAGTGCATCGTAAGAGGAATCTACTGATGTCCGTTTGTCCCAGTGTTGATGGTCTCAACTTTGTTCTCTTGGTTAAGGTAAAGTCTGTCAGATTTTGCCAGTATAAAGTGACTAGCTTTTTAGTGTCTTGTGGGGAGATACTTTGAGACTATGTACGTATCTTATTTGTCATCAGACTTTCATCATTTTTTAGCATCCATTCATGAGTTTCTGTCTTTCATTCTACGTTTATTAGTTTGTTTTCTTCTGTAGGAGGAGCTTTCCCGTCTCACTCATTTATTTACTTATTTATAGTATATGGACTCCGAATCCTGTCTTGCTAGTTTAAATGAGGTATGAAATATACATACATATATACATACATAGATAGTCCCTGGATGGTGCAGATGGCGAAGTGCTCTACTATTAGCTGAATGGCTGACAGTTCAAACCCACCCACAGGTACCTTAGAAGCCATTGCTTAGGGAAGGTCATAGGCTTGAAAACCCTGTGGAGCAGTTTCACTCCGCACACGTGGGGGTGCTATGAGTCAGAACTGACTGGACGGCAACCAACAACAATGTAGATTATTAATCTATTTTTATTGCAGAACCTTGGGTGTTACTATTTTTCTTTGTTTTTCTTACCTCCATGCATGCGTGTCAAAAAGGCATTTCCTGCTTGAAGTGAAACGTCACGCGTTTTTATACCTTTTATAAAAAAATTTCCATGTCAGTTTATATATTGTTGTCAAGGTAACAAACTATGAAGGAAGACAACTAGAGGTTTTTCAAAAGTTACAAGAGACTTTAACGTGACAGAGCAAATCCTCTGAATTCCCGAGTATCTTGTAACATCCTATTGGTAGAAATCACATGAACAAGGATAATTTCAAACTACATAATATTGTCTGCTTTTCTACAGTTGGAAAGAAATAAGAAACACTGGCAGTATTCTAAGTTTTTCTCCAAAAAACAAAGAAAATCCCATAAGGTTGGTACTGTTATTCTCCCTCCTTTGCAGATGACGGGATTGAGGCGCAGAAGTGTTCATAATTTGCCCAAGATGACACAGCTAGTGAACAGCTATACCAGGATTTCAACCCACACATACTGGCTTCAGAGCCTACTCTTAAATATATCGTCTCAATTTATACCATTCGCAGGATAAGCATTACTGCCTGGGAGCTATGAGGCATACTGGCGATGAAGCTAGTATATGTGGTTGGACAGATTGTTTGCTGAAGTATTACTGAAAGGGGTAAAGGGTAACTATTATCCATGCTCTGCTTTGCTCATCAAACCATGTGCAGCTGTAGCCACCTGAGCATGGGACCCCTTCGCTAATTCCCAAGGAGCGCCCACATGGGTTAGTGACGTACTTGACTAGTTTCCATTGATTTCTTTTTCTTTCCTAGTTCTGCCTCCTAGGACTCTCTGCTTCCCTAGAAGGAGGGAAAAAATGACCACGTTCAGGGTGAGTAGGGCTTTTCTTTCTTGCTGTTAAAATGCCATGTTAGTACTCAGATATTGGACACTTCCTTTCTTTAGAAGAATTCAGGCGAGTCAAGGCATTTGAGGACCTGTTGGTTGTGCTGGGTGCTTGTTTTGTCCATTTAAGTTTTCTTTTGTTGTTTTTATTTCACAAGTAAGAGTAGAAAATTAATAGCAATGAAAAAAAACCTGCTTTACTACTACCTTGGTTACTAATTAGTTGCTTTTATATTTTTATAATCTCTTCATTATATATATTCATATTTATATATTCATAATACAGATAAAAATTTTAAACTATGCTCTTTTCATTTAACATTATGTAACATTCATTTTTTAATCATTAATTTTTTTTGTTGTTGTTGAGAGTAGACACAGCAGAGCATACACCAGTTCAACAGTTTCACATGTACAATTCAGTGACATTGATTACATTCTTCGAGTTCTGCAGCCATTCTCACCTTCCTTTTCTGAGTTGTTTCTTTCCAGTTACCATAAACTCACTGCCCCCTTAGTGTTCTATCTAATCTTTTGTGTTGCTGTTGTTAACTTGATCCCATATAGATAGATCTTAAAAGAGCACCATGCTCAAGGCAGACACTCTTTACCAGTTAAGCTAAATTATTGTTTGGTTTTAAGAAAAAGGAGCCCTGGTTGCTTAGTGGTTAGCACTCAGTAGTTAACCAAAAGATCGGTGGTTCAAACCCAGCAGCTGCTTCAGGGGAGAAGGATGTGGCAGTCTGCTTCTGTAAAGATTATAGACTTGGAAACCCTATGGGACAGTTCTACTATGTCCTGTAGGTTTTAAGAAGACTTCAGGCTGTCCCTTTTCTAGTGGATGTTGGTTGTAAGATTTAGGTTGTCTGTGTTTGTTGTAGGAAGCAGTGACATTCAAGGATGTGGCTGTGGCCTTCACTGAGGAGGAGCTGGAGCTGCTGGATCCTGCCCAGAGGAAGCTGTACCAAGATGTGATGGTGGAAAATTTCAGGAACCTGGTCTCAGTGGGTGAGGATAGGCACCCTCTGAGGGTCTTTGTGTCTTTGGGTTTTTAAGGCTTTGATGCTCTTGAAATGATTCCCTGAGTTAAAAGAACTATAAATGGACAGTATACTGCTATATTTTATCTACACTTTTTCAAATTTCACTCCTGACCAATTTATTGAGTCATTGAGAGCTTGGCTGCTAAACAGAAGGTTGGTAGTTCGAATCCACCATCTACTCCTTGGAAACCTTATGGGGCAGTTCTCCTCTGTCCTGTCGGGTCACTATGAATTGGCATCAGCTTGAAAGCAGTGGGTTTGTTTTGTTTTTAACCTGCAAGTTTAGTGAAATAAAATAGAGTAGAAAATATCAGAGATCCTTAGGACGAACAGAAAACACTTCAGGAAAAACTCTGGTCAGTTGTATGAGTGGTGTGAGAGTCAGTGGGACAAGAGTCAACAAAAGTAAACGTTGGTTAGAAATAAGTCATTCAACCTTTGTTTATGCGTATGTGTGTAGGTCATGAAATAAGGGGTATTTCAAATAAGTCATGATAAAAATGTTTGGCAAACACTGCTTTTGATGTCTTGAAAAGAGTTACCGTAGAAACTCAAATTTCCAGTTGTTTTTACCTTTAGTGTGTTCATTTTAAATATGTGACTTTCCACGTTCACAGGGCATCAACCCTTCGAAAGGGATATATCACATATAGAAAGAAGAGAGAAGCTTTGGTTGATGAAGATAGCAATCCAAAGAGAGAGGAATTCAGGTAAGAACCAAGCAATTGTCAGTCCATCATAGTTGTCAGATACATTGTTGTCCATGTGTTTGCTTCTTGCCACCTCTATTGCTGTTAAAAAAAACCAAAAAACCGAACCCATTGCCGTCAAGTTGATTCCAACTTATAGCAACCCTATAGGACAGAGTAGAACTGCCCCATAGGGTTTCCAAGGAGTGGCTGGTGGATTCAAACTGCCAACTTTTTGGTTAGCAGCCAAGCTCTTAACCACTCTGCCACCAGGGCTCCTATTGCTGTTACCTGGTCCAAATTACCAAATTTCTTTCCTGGATTATTGCAGCAGCCTTTATACTGGTTGCCCTTCCTTATCCTTCCCTCCTACAGTCTATTCTATCAGGGAAGACCGCATTCTTTCCTCACCTCTAACTGTTGACTCTCACATGGAAAAGTGATAAGATATTAGAGAGAGTAAAAAAGCCTAAGAAGGAGCCAGTGCATAGGTCTCATGCTTTCCTTTTACCTTGCGTGATTCTTACCACCTTTGATTTTCTTATCAGCATAAACCCCTTTGCTGGATCCTTCTGAAAGGTACAGCGTTTTCACTTCTTAACAAAACTATAGTTTCCAGTCCCTTCCCTATTTCAGGTAACTTACTTGTAAAAGCTCTTTTGCTTCTATGCCTTGGCTCAAATTTAAACTGGGATTTGGCATCATAGAGAATCCCAGAAATCAAACTGGGATTCATCTACACATGCATTTGTTGAGCATCTGCTAACTACTGGGCACTGTTCTGAACTATGGCTGTAAAGCTGTGAGCACTACAAAATGATTGTTCTCATTGATACGGCATTGTGGTGGGAAAGACATAATTTTTAAAAAAATGATTCAGAGAGTATGTCAGATGGGAGTAATTGTGTTTCTAACTAGGTTTCATTAATGTTTAGTGGTTGAGAGCTTAGTGGACTACCTCTAGGTTTCTGTTGATAGGTAAAACAGAGAACTTCATATGTGGGAAAGAGATAAGCTGAACCATCCTAGGATTCATCCAGCACATTAAAGTTCTGTGCTGTGTCCTAAGTGTGAAGTCTTGAAATCTCTGAACAAAGCTTTTACTTGTCCACATCTCTAAATTCTTTGTTTTTACAGGAGAGAAGAATCAAAGAGCGTTAGGGACTGTTGAAGATGAAGGATCACGTGAAGAGCTTTCCCGCTGGCAAATCTGGCAACAAATTGCAAATGACTTAGCCAGGTGTCAAGACTCCATAATAAATAGTTCTCAGTTATGCAAACAAGATGATTCCCCCTGCCAGGTTGGGGCAGCTCTATCTATTCCGATTTCTGAAGGTGAGAAGTATATACTGAATCATAAAGGGAATGGTCCTAATGATACTCGAAATCCAAAGTTTTCAATTTTGAGAGCCCAGGATTCTTGGAGGAAAACCTATGTGACTGACTCACCAAATGATCAGAGTGAATATCGGCAAATTTTCATGAAAAACAAACTGTGTCGGTATAAGCAGGGGGTTGACAGCATCAGTTGGATTTCACATCACCATGGTCTTGGAGTACATAAAAGTGAATTTTCTTATAGCCACATTGATTATGGGAAGTACAGAATGAACATTTCAACTTTTAATCCGCAAAGTATAATTCACACAGGACAGAAAACCTACCAGTGTAACGAGTGTAAAGAAACATTCAATGATCTCTCCAGCTTTGATCTTCATCAGCCATTACACTTCGTAGAGAAATCTCATACATGTAGCAAGTGTGGAAAAAGCTTTCGTTATAGCTCAGTTCTTCATTTTCATCAGAGAGTTCACATGGGGGAGAAGTGTAACAAGTGCAGTGATTGTTATGAGGACATCAGTCCTAGCTCACACTTGCAAATTCATCAGAAAGTCCATATTTCAGAGAAACCACACAGATGTGATGAATGTGGGAAGGGCTTCAGTCGTAAATCAGCGCTTCATGTTCATGGCAAAGTCCACACAGGAGAGAAACCTTATAATTGTGAGGACTGTGGGAGGGCCTTCAGTCAGGCCTCTCATCTTCAGGACCATCAGAGAGCCCACACTGGAGAAAAACCATTCAAATGTGATGCATGTGGTAAGAGCTTCAGTCAGAATTCACATCTTCAGTCCCATCACAGAGTCCATACGGGAGAGAAATCATACACATGTGCAGAGTGTGGGAAGGGCTTTATTGGTAGCTCAAATCTTTACATTCATCTGAGGGTCCACACTGGAGAAAAACCGTATAAATGTGAGGAATGTGGTAAAGGCTTCAGTCGGCCTTCAAGCCTTCAGGCCCATCAGGGGGTTCACACAAGAGAGAAGTCATACATATGTAATGTGTGTGGTAAAGGCTTCACTCTGAGTTCAAATGTTCAAACCCATCAGAGAGTCCACACTGGAGAGAAACCGTACAAATGTGAGGAGTGTGGAAAGAGTTTCAGGAGGAACTCCCATTACCAAGTTCATTTGGTAGTCCACACAGGAGAAAAACCCTACAAATGTGAGGTATGTGGGAAGGGCTTCAGTCAGAGTTCTTATCTTGAAATCCATCAGAAAGCGCACAATGTAGACAAACCTTACAAGTGTGAGGGGTGCGGGCAAGGCTTCAGTAACAGTTCAAGACTTCAAATTCACCAGCAGATCCATACTGGTGAGAAACCATACAAATGTGAAGAGTGTGGAAAGGGCTTCAGTCGTGGAGCAGATCTTAAAATTCATTGTAGAATCCACACAGGAGAGAAACCTTACAATTGTGAGGAGTGTGGGAAGGTCTTCAGGCAGGCTTCAAATCTTTTGGCCCACCAGAGAGTCCACAGTGGAGAAAAACCAATCAAATGTGAAGAGTGTGGGAAGAGCTTTGGTCGGAGTTCACATCTTCAAGCCCATCAGAGAGTCCACACTGGAGAAAAGCCATATAAATGTGAAGAGTGTGGGAAGGGCTTCAAGTGGAGCTTGAATCTTGACATGCATCAGAGGGTCCACACAGGAGAGAAACCATATAAGTGTGGGAAGTGTGGGAAGCACTTCAGTCAGGCCTCAAGTCTTCAACTTCATCAGAGTGTCCACACTGGAGAGAAACCATACAGATGTGATGTGTGTGGTAAAGTCTTCAGTCGATCTTCACAACTACAGTCTCATCAGAGAGTTCACACAGGGGAGAAACCTTACAAGTGTGAGATATGTGGTAAGAGCTTCAGCTGGAGATCAAATCTTAAAATTCATCACAGAATTCACGCTGGTGATAAATCCTATAAAAATGATCGAGGTGGTAAAAACGCAAGAGAGTCCACACAGGAAAGAAGCTCTATAAAATGATTTTTAAAGACCCAAGTGTGCTGTGAATTCTTCCAATCATCAGATCTCATAATAAGAGAAAATAATTTCTTCCATATAAGGGAATATTTCAGCTATAGCACAGCATATCTCAGTAGTCAGGAGAGTACTTTCCTAACTGTTGCAGTCACAACCTTGATCTTTATCTGATACTACTTAGTCGTCAGGAGAGGACCTAGAAAGAACAAGAGTTTTCAGTCCTTTTACAGAAGTATAATGACAGATGTGAAAATTAATGTCCACTAGAATGTAAGCTTCATAAAGGCAGAAATTCTGTTCACTGGTGAATCTATACAATCTTAACATTGCCTAGCATGTAGTAAACCAGCCCACCAAAAAAAAACACACACACAAACCCATTGCTGTTGGGTCAATTTTGACTCACAGTGACCCTCTGACAAAGTAGAACTGGTAAGGTTTCCAAGACTGTAAATCTTTATGGAAGGAGACTGCCACAGCTTTCTCCTGTGGAGTAGCTAATGGGTTCGATCCACAAACCTTTTGGTTAGCAGTCAACCACTTACTTAACCACTGCACACAGACGAGCAACGTTTGTTATAAATTGGAACAAATGTATGATATTTGAAAATTGTGTTCATCTCCAAATTTTTATATAAATTCGTATTGAGAACACGAAACCTTAAGCGGCCTTTATAAAATTAATTTAGGGACATGAGTTGAAATGTAGAAAACTAGTCATTACTGCAAAATGCAGTATTAATTTGGATTGCCTTCTTGTGATTAGCTCCTGTCCTCCCCAGCTTGTTTTATCAAGTTTGGTCCTTATTTTGGACTTTGTCTAGTGTTCTAACACTTGCCAATAGTATAAATTATCATTTGTGACAATATAGACTGAAAAGTGAATTTTGTTGATCTGCCTATTAAGTGATTGAATTTTTTCAAGAATGTTAAGGTAAGGACTTACTGTAACACTTGGAAAGTGTCAGGAAGAACTACTAATACGACAAACATTTTGAAGTAAATGTTGAATTGGTTATTAGTTTCTCTTTGATGTGATTGCCTTCTAAGCGCTATAGTGTATATTGAATATACCACGGACTGCCAGAAGAACAAACCTGTCTTGGACGAAGTACATCCAGAATGCTCCCTGGAAGCACATACTTTGGACGTTATCAGGAGGGACCAGTTTCTGGAGAAGGACATCATGCTTGGTAAAGTTGAGGGTCAGCTAAAAAGAGAAGACCCTTAAATGAATATAAGGATCAGCACAAAGCTGGTTCCTATGAGGCAGAGGTTAAAGATGTCTCAAATGTCCAACTTTTCCAAAGTGCTGTACCACTCCATCATCTCTAACACAGGCTTTGCATTCCGTAATTTGCAGCAACATCTCACAGAACTCATGAGCCGTATCAAGGAAATGGCTCAATTTTTTGTGTAGGCTGTCAAATCCCAAATCCGTGGGTCAGGTGTAGGCTTCTCCTGGCTCACGTGGCTGCAGGGACTGATGAACCCAAACCAGCAGTGCAGACCACAGCTGCTGGCTCACAAGTCTGCGGAAGCTGGCAAATCAGGTCAGATGGTAAGCTGCTGACCGACGGGGCTGCAGAGGCTGGGAAATTCCAGAATCGGCAGGTCAGATGGCAGGCCTCTGGCTCAAGTCCTAAGAACTGGAAATTAGATCATCACAAACCAGATGCAGAGAGAGAGCTCTACTAGGGCATCCACCTATATACCTTAGATGCAAGCCACATCCCAGGGAAACGCATAACTTGAGTAAGAGTAGGACTTGACTTAAGCCCTCCTGCAAGGCTTCGACTCAGGACACAGCCCACACCAGGCCTGCCTCATCAACATGTAGAGGTCAGGATCCACAACGCGTAAGATGGAGGAAAACCACACAATACTGGGAACCATGGCCTAGCCAAGCTGACAGCCCCAACGCTCACGGTTTCCACATGCCCTATTTGCATAGTCCCACCATATCACTGTGTATGAGTCACAGAGACCATGGCTAGAAGGGCCACATTAATTCATTGTACCTCAGGCCACCCCCTGGCTCTTCTAGACATTGACACTTCCATACTTGAAGGGCAAACTTCCCCCTCCCAATCATTTTACCAGTCCAAAACAGTCATTAAAATTAGTCCTTCAGGGGTAAGACAGTAAACAATACTGGGGAAGCCAGCATAACTTGTACAAGGCAAGATCATGGAAGCTTCATAGAGACATCCAAACTCCCTTAGGGACAATTACTGGGCTGAGGGCTGTGGGGACAATGGTCTCAGGGAATGTCTAGCTCAATTGGCATTGTTTTTAAAGAAAATGTACGTTCTACTTTGGTGAGTGGTATCTGGGGTCTTAAAAGCCTGTGAGTGGCCATCTAAGATACTCCACTGGTGTCACCCCTTTAGGAGCAAGGGAGAGTGAAGAAAAGTAAAGACACAAGGGAAAGATTAGTCCAAGGGACTAATGAGCCACATCTATGATGGCCTCCACCAGCCTGAGTCCAGTACAACTAGATGGTACCCAGGTACCACCACAGACTGCTTTGACAGGGATCACAATAGAGGGTCCCAGACAGAGCTGGAGAAAAATGTAGAACAACATTCTAACTCACAAAAAAGATCAGACTTACTGGCATGACAGAGACTGGAGAAACCCTGAGACTATGGCCCCTGGACACCATTTTAGCTCAGTAATGAAGTCACTCCTGAGGTTCACCCTTCATCCAAAGCTTAGACAGGCCCATAAAACAAAATGAGATTAAAGGGGCACGCCAGTCCTGGGGCAAGGACTAGAGGCAGGAGGGGATAGGAAAGCTGGTAGTAGGGAACTCAAGGTCGAGAAGGGAGAGTGTTGACATGTCGTGGGGTTGTTAATCAGTGTTATAAAACAATACGTGTACTAACTGTTTAATGAGAAACTAGTTCTATAAACCTTCACCTAAAGTACAGTAAAAAAAAGATTAAAATATTTTTAAAACATAATTAAGAAGTTTGATCTAATGTGTTTCCGCATGTGTATAGAATTCTACCTCCAAAAAATTTTCTGAGCACATATAAAACATTCACAAAAATTTATCACATACCAGACCATAAAGCAAGTCTCAACACATTTCAGAGACTAGGCATCACATAAAAAAAAAAAAAAAAAATTCTTCTGTAGGGCAAAAGAGTCCTAAGGGTGGAGAACCTGACCAGATGAGATGGACATGTGCAGCCGACCAGAATGGCTGGTACCTGAATAACTTCGTCCTTAAGACTGTTTGCCCTATTGAAAGACTAGTTGTTAATTATTGTTTCGGACTGGTAAAATGATTGGGAGGGGGAAGTTATCTTCCAAGTATGAAAGAACCATGGCAAGAAAAGCCAGGGGGTGGCCTGTGGTGTGATGGATTGCTTTTGTGTGGCCTTTTTCTCCATGATCTTGCAACCCACCCAAGTGGGACTGTGAAAATAAGGCAATTGTGGCTCACCAAGCAGATTGGTCAGTTTTGCCATCCCACTAGGCTTAAAAGAGAGTCAATTCCAGTGCAAAGAGGGGATCTCACCACCACCAAGGAAGAAGGGCCAAGAGTGGAGCAAGTCTTTTGGACCCAGGATCTCTGCACTGAGAAGCTCCCAGAACCCGGAGACCAAGACAGAGAGAGAGAGAGCTGTTACACTGAACATGGCAAGAAGTGTTTGCAGAAAAATGGTGGCAGGAGAGCCTGGCAGGAGATGGTGCAGTGGGCTTCCCGGCCCACAGATCAAGAAAGCTGAGTGCCTATGGGCAGGAGGCTTGCTAGCAGAGTAGGGTGCCTCTGTGCACTCAGTGGAGCTATGTTTGCCAACCCATGGAGCTAGAACTGAGCACCTTTGAGCCAAAGGTTACTGACAGAGTGGGGTGCCTCTGGGTACTTACCAGCAGAGCTAAAAGAGCTTTGTAACACTTGCCTGAGCAGGGCAGAGGCCAAGAGCCAGAAAGGCATGCCAGCTGGCATGGCTGGGAAGAGGCTGTCCTGATGGAAGAACTGTATCGTGAGTGTTCCTGAATCTGAATTGTAACTTGTTACTTCCCTAATAAACCCCATAATAGTGAATATGGTCAGTGAATTCTGTGTGGCCATTTCAATGAATTATTGAACTCAGCAGAGAAGTAGAGTGCTGTGGGAGGGATGGTTGGTGTCAGAATTGGTAAAGATGGCAGAGAGAGGAGACATGTCTGACCTGACCTCTGCCTCATAGGAATCAGCCATGGGCTGTTGATCTTGATTCTCCTTCCCCCTTGTGAAGTTAGAGGAGGTCAGATGCCACCGCCACACCGCTATGCCATTCTTACACCCTCAACGAGATGGATCAACAAAGTGGCCGGAACAATGGGCTCAAACATAGCAACTATTGTCAGGATGGTGCAGGAATGGGCAGTGTTTTGTTCTGATGTACGTAGGATCGCTATGAGTTGGAACCAACTCACCAGCACCTAACAACAACATATACAGTGGTCTGAATGGATTCCCGAGCCCATCCTATGGTTATTTGCCAAGTCCCAAAAAGCAGAGTTGCAATAGAAATAGTCAACAACTGGCAGAATCCACCCCGTGGTTCCCTGACCTGCAGAATGAGGGCTATTTTTGTAAGAAAAGATAAATGCAAACCATTGTGGTTGCTTCTGTGTACAAAAATAGTAAGTCAAAAGCAACATCATGTTCCTGGAGGGAACAAATAAATTAGTGCCACTAGTCATATCTTGAAAGTTGCAAGGGTCGTGATTTCTATCACATCCCCATTCAATTCACACATTTGAACTGTGCAGAAACAGGTGAATCTGGGAGAATGATAGGATATAACTGTAAACTTAATTAGGGTTTAACACCAATTGCAGCTGCAGATGTGGTTACATGATGGAGCAAATCAATACATGTACTGGCACCTGATATGCAGCCATTGAGCTGACGAGTGATTT